TTTTGCTTTATGAGGAATTTCCATTTTTTTTCAATTTTGTGTAGAGTTTTTGGGTGATTCATAATTTCATTTATCCTTGTAGATGGAGGTTTCCTTTCCTATAATGTATTGTCCGTACGGGGAGTGCCACTTTTATGTGGGGTACTCGTTATACAAGACTCCGTAAACTGTCTTCTACAACGGTCCGACATGACCCCATAAACTGTCTTCTACATCGGTCTGACACCGCCATCCAGTGTCCTCTACAACGTTGTGACACCACCATACAGTGTCCTCTACATGGTTATGACACCCCCATACAGTGTCCTCTACAACGTTATGACACCACCATCCAGTGTCTTCACCAATGGTTTTCGTTCTTATCAGTTTGTCTCCTATCCTCTTTTATTTTTATGTATTTTCTTGTTTTGTAACTCTCTCCAAACTCAAGTTGGTTCGTTCCTATCCCCCTTGAGTTTGCGGGGGGCTGTTAAAATTCACCTACTACACACCTACCACTACCACCTACTACACACTCACCTACTTCACCTACTCTCCACCTACTCCTCACCTACTCCATACCTACTACACACTCACCTATTCTCTTCCCACATCCTCTCTTCTATATATAGGAATCATTGTAATATATCAATAAACATCAATCAATAATACAATCATTTCTCTTTATACATTAAATTTCTACATTTTTATTAGGATTTAGTTTTTTATTTGAATTTCCTTATAGGTTATGGAATACATACATACATATATATAGTTATTGTGTATGGAAAACACTTCTGCTTTGATGAGTGAATTTTGATCGGGAATTCTTCAGAAATCTAGTAATGTAGCACCAAAAAATCAAGAAAATAGAAGAAGAATAAAGTAAGAATCACAATTCCAAAATGATATCTCAAATCACAATAATCAATATTCGTATCAAGTCTAGTCTCCCAAACTATTACGTAAAAGCCATATATATAGGCATAAGCACTATTTAATTAGGAACCCAGAAATAGGAAACTTAGGAATTGGAAACTACTGATAATGAAATAAAATCCTATTAGATTATAATTAAACTAATTTTTGTATATTCTTCAATTTATTGTCATCCAATGCCTTCTCGATTCCCATCACCTAGTTTCTGCATCGTCTTTTCTGGTGCTACACCTCTAGTATTGTCTGGTTACTATGCTCATTAGTCATATGGGGGGGATTACTTATTAACTATGACTTTTGTTGTCCACATTTAACATCAGCAAGTGTCCTGTGACTTGTACGTTTGTAGGACAATGTTCCGTCCATTTATTTTGTCAGTTACTACTTCAGGTTTTAAGTGGAAAACATATGTTTTTGGACGTGGTACATATTCTTGCAGATGTTTTTTTACAGTTGGAGTTTATGTTATGTTATACAAGGTGAATTTCTTTTTTTCAATTTTTCTTATTTTTTTTATATTCAAAATCTTTCATCTGCAAACCTTCCTCCTTGGGTTCCTCGGAAAATAATTTGGAATGCAAGGCTCCTTTTTCATGGGAGGTTCTTGATAACTTGTGCAGGGATATTTTATTACTAATTGGTGTTGCGTGTATTAGGAGGTGGAGGAGTTGGTTAATCACCTTGCATCCACCATGTAGTGGTTAGAGTCTAGAGAGGTGTTGCATTTTCTTTTGATATTGCTTCGAATGTTTTGAGTTTTTCCTTGATTTGTGGCTGCTTTCCTTCTCTGTTGGAGAGCAGTAAGGATTCAAAAGAGGAAGCAGAAGTCATGTTATGTCAGTCCTACGTTTTATGTGGCGCATTTGGGCAAAGGTGTGGAAGCTCTGCTTCACTAACTGAAAGTGTGTTTGTGGATGTTTTCTTCTATTGGGTGATTGGAAGGGATTGCCCTTCCATTGAAGCCTTCTCAATTTAGTAAGAACTTGATTCTTTGTTTTGTTTTGTTTTTTTTATAATAATTTTTATTACTCCTCATATCATTTCATTTTCCCTTTTGATGTCATGGGACAAACCCTTTTTTTTAGACTTCATTTTTTTTTTCCTTTCTTATTTTCCTTTCATTTTATTTTTCTGGCATATGCTGTGTACAGGAGATGGGACACACCCCTTCTAGTTTGTTCCCCAGCTCACCTTGCTATCTCTTTTACTTATTAAAAAACGTTTTTCTTATAACTCATTTTAAAATTTGATTGTAGATTTTTTCTTCTTCTTTTCCTTTGTTTTTTAGTTTTATTTTTTATTATGCTTTTCTTCCTTTTCTTTTGGCATAGAAAATAAAAAGTAGACTAAACATTGGAGGAATTTTTTGATTGGTATATGGTCTTAAACTCGATATGGTTAGGTCATATTGCACCAATAAATTCTACTTTCAGTATAAAATTAAATTATAAATATAACTGGAGTTCACATCACAAACAAGAAACGGTTTTATAGAAACTAAGCCTATTGAATAGCACTCTAACAAAGTGGTAAAGATGAATGAGACGTCAATAGCTTTCCCAATACAATAATTTATTGAAACAAGAGCTTTAGGTAATTCAAAACATATCTTTTCAAGAGTTTTAACAAAATCAAGTCATGTCTTCTCAAGAGCTTTAAGCAAGTCATGTCATATCTCATCAAGGACTTTAATCAAAGCAAGTTATTTCATTATCAAGAGCTTGCATTTCAAAACATGATAGCAATGTACATCCAATGGAGCAAGACAAGACGAGGGACTAACCGGCCCGGGTAACGATTAGACAACCCATCTGCAGGTGGCAAGTGAGATCTCTATCATCATGCTACTAGCACGCTTGGGGTCCCCTAGTAGCTAGGACCAATCCGAGGAGGCCATCTTTATACATTTGATACATGAATATAGGATATCCATTCATAATGAAGCATTTCAAAGTATACTGAAACATAGCATAGTTTGATTTCCAAAATATGAGTTCAAACATAACTTTAAAATAATACTACTCACCAATGGCTCCAAGGGATGCGAAAGTCCTCGATATGCAACCTATGTAAGTACAAATTCAATTTTTATTGAAATACTATGCAAGTCAATGCAAATGCTAAGTTGCTTAGACCAATTCAAGTTTTCCCTTCCTAGTTCAATCCTTTCCCTTTAACTATGGATCTTTCGGTTCATTTCTAATCCTTTTCTAGGTTCAATTCAAGTTTCCAGTATCCAAATGGAGCCCCGGTGCACCGAAATAACTAAAAGGAAGTGAAACAGGGCCACACACAGTTAGTGCCACACGTGCGAAGGCCTTGTGCTGCATGTGCGGGCTGGTGCAGAGTGCCTCACGTGCAGGGTCTGGTGCTGCAGGTGTGGTGGCTTTCTGCCGCATGTGCGGTTTCGTGCAGTCTTCCACCACCTGCTCTGCTGCGAAACTTCAACTTCTACAAAACCACTTCTCTTCATTCCAAAGCATGAAAACATGAATTTTTACCCTACAAAACAACTAAAAATCACATGAAACTCGTGGTTTCTTATACAAAAGTATAGCTTTTTTCTTTCAAAATCATAGATTTCCACTAAATTCTTCTTAACCTAGATTTCTTTTATCTTTTCTTGATTTCCTTCATTCAATCCCCACTTGAAATCAAATCTAACATGAATTTCATTTGTTTTGAGGATATCTACATGAAATATGGAGGACAATCTAAACTTCTTCTTGTTTAAAATTAATTTTAGGTCAAGGATCGGGCTCTTCTTTTCCCTTCTTATTCTTCCTCTCTTATTCTTATTTTCTTCCTTCTCTTTTCCTCTCTAGCTTGACTTTGCTACAGCAGATATTCTCTCTCTCCTCTAGCTATTTTTCTTGTTTTATTTTTGGGAGAGACACTTGTCTCTCCTTGGTTCATGTCTATCCTCCAAGTAGGAGGTGTAAATCTTTAAAGGAGGTATGTGCTTCACCTCTGTGTTTCACCTACTTACCTAATCTTCCCCCTTTAGCTTAGTTAATCAAACTTAGTTTTAATTAATCAAGGTTAGTTTCTAATCTTCATTAATTTAATTAATCTCACTAAGTTTAATTAATCCTACTTAATTATTGCTAATCCTGGTTAAGGTTTTACACAAAGCATGAAATCATTTAACACATTAGTTCCAAGTCTTTAAGCACCTTGACTAGGGTACAAACACCATGTAGCATCTCCATTTCAATTTAAAAGTCATCCCTAACTCGTAACACATCTTAAGGAGGTTAACCTCTAATAGTCTTCTAACTAGAGTATGCATTTTCTAAGTTTTTGTTGAAACAATTCATGTCATAACCTCCTAATGCAATACAACGCAATTAGACAAGGACAGCGTATGCTCCTGTCATGTAAGAATGTCTTGGGTGTTACACATATTTGTTATCTAAGTTCAGAAGAAAATTGCCTTCTAACTCTTGACATCAAAGAAATTCTCATGTATAAGGTCTCCTAACTATACCATTTCTAAGCTTCAATTTAGGCATTTCATGCAACAAGACAACTGGTTCGACTTGGGGCATTCAAATATGACTTGAATGCATGGTATTATTTTGGGGTGTCATACTAACAATACTGCAAACATGATTATGTATGGTTCCTATCGGTTTTTCTTTGAGTTTCTTATACTCTGCATCACTTGTGCTCCATGTGGCTTATGTTGTTCAATAATCACATTGCATTTTTTTATATAATTTTATTTCTCGTAATTGCGTTTTCATTCAGCATATACAAGGGCTTCCAACACTCACATTTGTTCTATTGGCCGTGGCTTTTCTGTTCCACTACAGCATATCATTCATATACATAATATTTTTCTGCCTGTTTGTTATTATATATGTTCATAGTGCAAATTTCTTCTAGCACTATATATACACTACATATAATATTATGTAGTGCTCAATAAATGATTGCTTCAAATATTACGAATTTGACCAATGGGTTCTATATTAATGGGTTGGTTCTGTTTCTTGTATTTGATTAGTGATGCTTCCAAACTAGTATCCTTTATTTAATAGTCTGTACAAGAATGATTTTTGTTACTGCTGCTGTAGGTGGAAATGGTGCACACCAAGAGGCTTAATGTGCAGAAGTTCCATCTCGGAGGAACACCTCGGAAGGTTTTATATCATAGTGAAAGTAGGTTGTTGCTTGTAATGAGGACTGAATTGGGCCGTGATTCATATTTATCTGATATATGCTGTGTAGATCCGCTCAGTGGGTCAGTTTTATCATCTTTTAGACTTGATCCTGGGGAAACAGGAAAGTCCATGGAGTTGGTGAGGGTTGGAAATGAACAAGTTTTGGTGATTGGAACTAGTCTGTCTGCTGGTGCAGTTATGATGCCCAGTGGTGAAGCTGAAAGGTAATCATTCGCTATGACCTAATGCCTTTTCTGTTTTGTTATTTCTATCATTTTACTAGATGAATTCTCACACTTCTTCACAAAATTTATATTTTGGCCGCCTCCTTTTGTTCTATCCTTTTTCTATAAGGGAAGTCATACTTTAGCTTTAACTGTAAACCCCCCACATTATGGACTCAAAAGCTCATGAAAGTGACTTGGCAGCTTCCTGCTTATGTATTACTGGTGAAGCTACAATTTATATTATTAGTTGCTTAAGAAATTTGAGGAGTTCTTATTGGTTATATTGTATATAAATTCTATCTATTATTTTTATTCAAGTCCTCACTTTTGTAGAAGTAATTCAAAACTCTTACTTTTGTATGATAATATATATTATGTTGTGCATGCATACTAACTGAATGCATTTCCAGCAGTACTAGGGGCCGTTTGATTGTCCTCTGCCTTGAACATGTGCAAAACTCAGATTGTGCTTCTATGACATTTTGTCAAAAGGCTGGTTCATCTTCTCAACGAACTTCTCCTTTTCGTGAAATTGTTGGGTATGCTGCTGAACAGTTATCAAGCAGTAGTCTTTGCAGCAGCCCAGATGATACTAGTTGTGATGGAATCAAGCTTGAAGAAACTGAAGCATGGCATCTGAGGTTAGCTTATTCGACCACATGGCTTGGAATGGTACTTGCTGTCTGCCCTTACCTTGATCGTTATTTCTTGGCATCCGCTGGTAATGCTGTAAGTGGCAAAGTGCTTTTGTGCTTGCTTATAAGGTTTCCAGACTACTATTGTGGTTATGTTGCCATTTCTTATGAGAATGTATTTTTCATCCTTTCTCAGTTTTATGTTTGTGGTTTTCCAAATGATAATTCCCAAAGGGTGAGAAGATTGGCTGTAGGAAAGACACGCTTTATGATAATGACTTTGACTGCTCACTTTACTAGAATTGCTGTTGGTGATTGCCGTGATGGCATCCTTTTCTATACCTATCATGAGGTAATTAGATTTCATGAATCCTGTTGGCTTTTTTCTTTTTCTATTTTTGCAGAGCTTACCCTTGTATAGTAAATTGTCATTCTATCAGCTTATTCTTTTCGTATTAGAAGTAATTTTAATTATATTTTTGCATGAATTAATACGAGTACGGCATGGTGTTGTAATAATGGTCTTCTACCTATCCAATCTGATTTCTTGTATGCCAGGATGCCAGGAAACTGGAGCAACTTTACTGTGATCCTGTTCAGAGGTTGGTAGCTGACTGTATTCTTATGGATGTTGATACCGCTGTTGTTTCAGATCGTAAGGGGAGTTTCACTGTCTTGTCATGTTCAAATCAGTCAGAAGGTATATTTCTCTTGTGGCTTGTGCATTTTTGTTTATGTCAATTATCAAAATGAGAAACAAGTTATATGAATATAAAATTCAATCCCACAAACAAGTCAACTTTTTGAGAGATGAGAATGTAGCCGTTTGCATTTTTTGTTGTTTTCTGTGTTTCGAACAAAGAGGAAATTTTTTGAAAACATCCTTTGGTTTCATATCATATTTACTTTTGTGCAAAAATAGTTTTTGGAAATAAAGAATACAACTTCAAAGAGTTTCCTAAAACATGGGGTGTTTTAAAAAATCTTCTTCCGAAAACAACTTTCGGAAATAGTTCACCAAGCAAATTTTTTGTTTCAGTTTCCATTTTTTTGTTTTCAAGAATCAGAAAATGGAAATGATACCAAATGCGCCCTAAATATCTTTTTCCTACTTCACAAATAGTTTTATTCCAAATCCACCCCCCCCCCCCCCCCCCCCCAAAAAAAAAAAAAAAAAAAAATGGTTACTATCTTTATTATTTGTTGTCAAGCTACGTGTTTACCCATGGGCCTAAGCAGCCCATCAATATCTTGGTTTAAAACTTGTTAAAGCAGCTTTTGTTTGTATGAGTTTACCACAAAAATTACAGAACAAGATACGAAAAGATAGGAGAAGCAGGGGAGAAGAACTCAAAATGGCCACAGCCTAAAAACTCTCAATAGTATTAAACCAAAACTGAATGTTACAATGCAAATTGTACTATTTATAAGCCAAAAAGAAACCTAATTAGAATTGGAAACCTAATCAACCTCTCTTACTAATATTTCTTACTAACATATCTTTAATTGAATCTAATACATTTTTGGGACCAAAAAGTCTTTGGGCCCATGAGTTTTAGCCTAGGTTTCCAGATTCGATATTGAACTCCAACCAGTCAAGTGCTGCGCCATCAATTCTCCTCTGTTGAAAGAACTTGACTTCGGCAAGTTAGGAGCATGCCCATGAATGCCATCTGATGGGGGAATATGCTGATTTAACAAGGACTTCTTCAATTTGTTAGCGCGCAAATCATTGGTCTAAGTGAGAGTGTACTTTGTCTTGCTGTCAATGAAAGAATAGGTGTTAGCACGCCCAACATGAACGACATCACGATTCTATATCCATGTACAACTCTATAAAATATGACAAAGCTTGAGAGGAAGAACATCACACATTACCATCTCGTTGAATTTGTCAATATTGAATGTCACGGGGCAATGTTTATCTACCTTGAGCTTCGTTTTGGTTATCCATGCCACATGATAAGGCTCTGGGTTTGTTTCAAACCTTCAAACCCAATTTATTTATGGCTTCCTTAGATGCAACATTTGTACAACTCCCCATATCAATTACTAATGAGCAGACTTGATCCTTACACTTTAGCCTTGTACGCAATTTTTTTCCACGCTGTAGCTTTTCGGGCTCCTTCATGTTTTCCTTACGAGTTGCAAGAAATGGATGAATGATTCCAATCACCCCATCTTGGAATTCCCCATCATCAGAGTTAGGATCAAGGGGTTCAATAACCTATTCATCAAGCTTTGTTTTCTCAAACTCTTTTCCTCTGCAATGTCTTCATTTTCAATCATAGCAATGGGCTTGATTGGCACATTACTCTTAGGAGGAGCAAGCTGAAATCTTAGCAATTAAACACTTGGACTTAATGTTACCTTCATATGAAAATTGAAAAGGACTAGAAGTAGAAAGCGGCTATGTTACATGGACTTGGGTGCGAAAAACCGCTTATTTTTTCTAGTTCTGCAACAACTTGGGCGAAATAGCTTTCTATCGGGAAACCATAGATTTTTTAGTTTTTGCCATTGGTTATTGGTCGAGCCATTGGAATGGAATGAGATAAGAATCTCTGGAGATCTTTCCTCTCTCACGAGCAGGAGGAGCGCAGGGGGTTAGAGATGCCCTTACAAAAAAAAAAAGGATCGATGCTGGCGATCGGAAAGCGAAGCACTTCCTTCCAATCCAAGTCGGCGATGTCGCCCCTATATCTAAACACCACTCACCCCGATCACATATTGAGCCGACAATTCTTTGCTTGACTTTGATTTGCGTGTTTTGAAATTGGATTTGCTTATATAATATAATAGAGAGGTGTGGGCTGCTTCACCAGAAGGACGGCTTTGGGAGCTTCATCATTATGGAATGTAAATCAGTCATTCAATTCCATGACAAAGAAAACCAAAATTGTGCAACTATCCATATGCAACAAGATAACAAGAAAACCTACAAGTGTTCTTACCTCTCCCTTATGGATCGAAGGTCTGGAGGAGAATTGGCCATTCAATCTTGTAAACTAGTCGAGACCGAAATTGGAAAAAGAGATATGAAAGGAGAGGAATAACCAATTGATGAAAGAACATGAAACCATTCTGTTTGAATAGAATTCCGGCCATCATTTCTGTCAATCGGCGGAAGGAATCACACCCTTGCTGATCCAATGGCCAAGAAATAGCACTTTCGTCTTAGTACCATTTCATGTACAACTTCTTTTCCTGCTACACCCGGAATACTGTACTCAAGGTTCTTTTGTTTCCGTTGCCCCCGGACACCTTAGAATAGATTTGATTGGAAGGAGGGTGAGGAACAAACACAGTGGTTTGACTGCTGGGATCCCAATCAGCCTGTATGAGTGTTGGGTGCGGGTATGCATCTAGGAGTCAAACTTATCAAACCATAAATTCAAGGGTACACGGACTCTGCATGTATGTAGGTTCTCTCACTCCTTGTAAGAGTGTCTATTGGAGATTGTAGTTTTCTTTTTTTACCTTTTCTTCCATCTAAAGTGCTACTTAGACAGTGTTTACCATATGGTAAAGCTTATTAGTAGCCAATTGTTAGCACCTTCTACTTGAAGGCTGCATGGTTGGCATTAGCAGCACCTTGCGCCTTTGTCTAACCAAGGCCGCGGTATGATGGTGGCATGCCAAGACAGCAAGGTGGGAATATGACAAGTGCTGTGTGGCAGTAGCACTCAAGTATGGGTAGCATTGCATAGATGCAAGGCATTAATATGACCTGAATGTGGGCTGCAACATACTTGGGGGTTGATCACAATTAGTGGGCAAGACTTGGTCTAGTGGCCAAGACAACGAATTTCGTGGATGACTTGGTAGGAAAGACTACAAGGCAGTTATTAACAGTTATGCATGTCTGTTAGAAACAGTTACCTTTGTTGGGACAAAGACAAGGCAAGGTTGGAAATCAGGAATAGTTACTGGCAGTTTGCTATAGAATTATTCCTAAGTCCCTAGGTAGTTGGGGGTGTCAACTGCCATGCCACTTGACATGCTTTCCTTACATTGTTGGTTGTATTTTGTAACTGATTGTAAGCCTATATAAGTCATGGCCATGGAAATCAAAATTCAGTCAAGTAATTGTGAGAGTTTCCATTAGCATTCCTTTGTATTGTTGGTGTAAACAATAAAGGTTGGGAATTTCCTATAAATTTGTGTTGCCTTCTCTCTTGCTTGTTCTAACTCATTTTGTGAGTGTGTGTTGGAAATTGGCTGAGACTAAGTGTTGGAACTTAGTGCCTCATGAGACTAAAATTTGTACTTTGAAAACAGTGTTGTGACAATTGGTATCAAAGCATGGTTGCTCATAAAGGGTGTCTGGTATGGATGTGTTAAAAGAGAGAGTGACTTGGTTGGAGAATTTGGTGGGGGCGCTTGCTGATGAAAGTCGTTTGCTTATGGATCGATTGGATGCCATGGCTTTTGGGTTCCTTGCCCTTGAGGCCTCCATGGTAGATCGGTTCAAGGGAGTCGCGGAAGACATGGTTGCCATGGCTAATGCTTGGAAGGACAAGTTGTAGAACATGGAAGACGAATTGTCTGTCCTCAAGAAGGCTATCTGTGGGCATTCAAACAGTGGCAAGCCCTCTCATTCCAAGATCAAAGTTCCTGATCCTAAGGCATTTGGCGGTGCTTGCAATGTCAAAGAACTTGAAAATTTCTTATGGGACATGGAGTAGTACTTCAAGGTTGCTCATGTTCCTGATGTGGAGAAAGTGACGATCACTAGCATGTACCATTCTGGTGATGCTAAACTGTGGTGGCAGACCCGAACAGAGGACTATGCTCGTCCAGTGATCGAATCATGGGAATTATTAAAGAAGGAATTGAAAGAACAATTCCTTCCTTGCAACTCGTCTTGGGTTGCAAGAGAAGTGTTGAAGCGACTGAAACACACTGGATTTGTACGGGATTATGTGAAGGAGTTCAGTTCGTTGATTCTGAACATCAAGAACATGTCGGAGAAGGACAAACTCTTTAACTTCATGTTGGGCTTACAAAGTTGGGCATAGTTGGAATTGCGTCAACTGGGGGTCAAGGACTTAGCCACGACTATGGCTGCCGCTGATACGTTGCTTGACTACAAGTTGAGCAAGGATTTTGTGTCAAAGACCAACAAATCTAAGAAGAAAGGGAAGGATAAAAGTGGGTAAAAGAAGGTTGGTTTTAAGAAAAGGAAAGACAAGTCCAAGTACAAACAGAAGGGAAAGTCTTCTTCACATTCATAGAACGATGGTGGAAAGTCAAACAAAGGATGCTTCATATGTGATGGACCCCACAGGGCAAAAGATTGCCCTAAGCGGGAGAAGTTGAATGCTATTGTGGTAGAAGGCGATGGAGGGGACATAGATGGTGATGGCCCAACTCGGGTTAATCCCTTGCAATTGTTAAATGCAATTCATAATGATAAGGCCCCTTTGACCGGTTAGATGTACATTCAACTAGCGTTAGGTGGTGGAGATGTTCTGGCTATGATGGACACTAGAGCCACTAACAACTTCGTTTTAGAAAAGATGGTGCAGTCCCTTCGTTTACAAGTTTCCGAAAGTCTAAGCTGGATCAAGTCTGTAAACTCGGCTGCACAATTGGTACATGGAATGACTCCAAAGTGCAGATTAAAATGGGCGAATGGGTTGGACAAATAAACTTGATGGTGGTGCCATCGGATGATTTTGATGTCATCCTAGGAAA